CTGTGAAACCAGAAAGTTATCTTGGAAATTCACAGTGCGCAAGTAACTTGTATAAGGTCACGCAGCAACTTCGTAGTCAGGCTGGCTTTGGAAACTGAGACCGTGGCCTGCTGGCCTGGGATCCTTCCCTGAGAACCTTTGTGGTGACCAGTCTGGCTCCTCTGGCCAGGGAGGACCTTGGCTGACAGTGATTGACAAGAACTCAGTGCTGTGTCCATTACGGGGTGTCCTTGCTGAGAGTCCAGAAGCAGCAGGAGGACCGCTGGACATTGCCCTGGGACACTGAGCCCTTGTCCTCTGACCAGAGTGTAAGGCGGATATAGAAGTCGGCTTACCTGAGACCCTGCAGCAGTGCAGTGTGCTGAGAGGGGAGAAGGAAAGGAAAAGCAGACACAGCCCGCCCCCTCCCCCACCCCTAGAAGAAGCCCAGATTGTTCAGAAAAGCAGATGCAGGAACCATCTGACTTGCCAGCAAGGTTTCCAACATTAACGTCACCTAGTAAATCCCTGCCCAGGAAACTTGTGGCCTGGGGAAGGGCAGGGACACCTGTGGGTGGTGCCATTTGCCCCCTCAAGTTCAAATGAGTCATATTTTCCAAATGAGCTCGACGTCCTCTTTCATTTGTAGCCCCCCACCCCTCCCCCCAGAAGCTTAGTTTTTAAACAGAAAGCTCTCATTGCTCTGCCTTTGCCAGAAGCTCCAGAAATAACTCACGGGGAAGCATCTCCATCTGATACTTACCACCTGCAGAGAGAATGGGCTGTACGGCAGGCGGTCTGGCATCGGGAGAGGGCGGCGTGAATGCAGGAGTGAGGCTGCGTGGCGGGGCTGTGGGAGCTGGGGCTGGCCCTCGGCACATCTGGGCTCCACTCTGGCAGAGTGACCCTAGGAGAGGTGGCTCGTCTGGGCTTTGGGGTCCTCATTTGCAAATGGGTTTGGCCATATATGACTTTGTCCTCAGGGAGGTAACAGCGTAGTAGGTAGGACCGAAGTGCAGCTGCTTCTCAGATCCATGCAGGATGAGGGAAAGGCCCCGGGTGGGGAAGGACTGTTGAGGGTCAGGGGGTCCAGTGGGGGCAGGCTCCTCAGTTCCTCCTGCTGTGAGTCCCCTGTGTTCTCTTGGGCTTGTGGTTGGCTGTCAGGAGAGGAAGACAATGATGTAAGTTAAGCTGGAAACTTCTTTGCAAAGATGCAAAAACTGAGGCCCACAGAGTGAGGGTGTCTGCTTGAGGCCACAGAAAGGAAAGTGGCTGCGTCAGGCTGGCCTGCTGGTGTTCTGCCACCCATGCTGGATTCTGTCTGCCCCAGCAACTCCCTCAGGGAGCTGTGCACGCT